TTCATAAGCCAGAAAACTGCATGATTTTGTAGAACATAGCAAAGATAGTCCAAATAGAAAGAATGGAATACTAGTATAAGGGGCAGAAAAATGAAAAGCCCTGTTTAGAGTAATGGTAGCTAATAATGTGGGCCCTCTTTTATCTGTTAATTAATCACTTGGGATCCTGTTCTTTTAGCCAATTTCCTGGAGCAGGACTTAAAAAATATAAAAGCAATCTGCTACTTACAAGGAGAATCTAAAAGCAGGCTTGTCCTTTTTTTTATGACATTTTAATTTTATTTTTCAATTAAAATTAATATTAATATTGTTTTATATAAGTTTTAGTTGTATAGCATAGTGGTTAGACATTTAAAAATTTATAAAGTGATCCCCCCAATAAGTCTAGTACACTCTTAATATCATACATTATTATAACAATACTAGAGATTCATGCACAGATTCGTGCACATTGAAAGAAAATTAATTAGAAGGTGGCCATCAAGGTCCCTCTGTAGATGGGGTCCTTCAGCCTGGCCTGTGGAGATCAGGCAGAAACTAGCAATCCAACATCCTCTGAGGGTTCCTAGAGTACAAGAGGGCACTCTGCAAAGTTGCTGTTATTCGGCAGCTCCTGCATTGAGCATCTGTCCCTTGGTGGTCAGTGCGCATTGTGTCTACCGGCTAGTTGGCCATTGGGTTAGTTGCATAGCGTTTTATATGGAGAGACTATTGATTATAGTCCATATGCTGTATTTTACACCCCATGATTATTTATAACTTACCCTAAAGATTTCATCAAAACATGATAGACCTGATAAATGAACTCAGTAAAGTAGCAGGATAGTTGCATTTTATACTCTAATAATAAACCATTAACAAGAGAGATTAGGACAGCAATCTCACTTACAATCTCACTTAAAATTGCGTAAAAATTAAAATATATATCTGCCCAGCCAGTGTGATCCAGTAGTTGAGCATCGACCCATGAACCAGGAAGTCACGGTTTTTAATTCCTAGTCAAGGCACATGCCTGGTTTGTGGGCTCAGTCCTCAGTAGGGGGATATGCAGGAGGCAGCCACTCAATGATCCTCTCTCATCATTGATATTTACATATCTCTCTCCCTGAAATCAATAAAAGCAGATTAAAAAATAAAATACTTAATAAATTTAACCAAGGAAGTAAAAGTCATATACTCAGAAAATTATAAGATAATAAAAAATAAAAAATACAAATAAACGGAAGCTTATAATGTGCTGATAGATAGAAAAAATTAACAGTTAAAATGGTCATACTTCCCAGAGCAATCTATAGATTTAAAGCAATCTCTATCAAAATAAAAATGGAATTTTTCACAGAAATACAACCAATAATTATAAATGTATATGCAACCACAAAAGATGCTGAATAGCCACAACAATCTTGAGAAAGAAGAACAAAGTTGGAGTTATCATGCTACCTGATAAAACCTATGCTACAAGGCTATAGTAATACAAATGGCATGGTACTGGGATCAAAACAGGCATATAGAACAATGAAATAGAATAGACAGCTTAGAAGTAAACTTACATATATATGGTCAATTAATATATGAAAAAGGAGGCAAGAATGTACAATGGGATTAAGACAGGAATAACTATATATTGTATCTGATTTATTGTGATGGTCACTTAGTGAGTTATAGAATGTCTAATCTCTGGAGATTATATCCGAAATTAATATGATATTGTATATCAACTATAATTGAAAAATAAAAATGATTTAAATAAACAAAAAAAGAAAAAAATGGTGTTATGAAAACTGAACAGATACATAAAAAAAATTAAAACTAAAACACCTGCTTATACCATATACAAGAATAAATTCAAATGAAATAAAACCTTACATGTTAGACCCCAAACAATATACTCCTAGATAAAAAACATAGGCAGTAAACTTTCTGACATTGCTCTTAGTAATATTCTTTCTGATATATAACCTTTTGGCAAGGGAAACAAAAGAAAAAATAAACAATTGTGACTACAGCAAACTAAAAAATTTTGCACAGTAAAAGATACCATTAACAAAAACTAAATTTCAACCTATTGAATGTGGGAATATATTAATCAATTATACTTCCAATAATGGGTTAATATAAAAAGTTGATAAAAAGACTCATACAACTCAACACCTAAAAAACAAACAATCCAATTAGAAAATGTCCAGAGGACTTTATTAGACATCTTTCCAAAGAGGACATAGAGATGACCAATAGACATATGAAAAGTTGCTCAATATAACTAATTAGCAAAGAAAAGCAAATTAAAGCCACAATGAGACATCACCTCACACCTATACAAATGTCTGTAATCAATAAATCAACAAACAAGTGTTGTGAAAGAGTGGAGAAAAGGGAATCCTCATAGACTGTTGGTGGGTATGTAGATGGGTGCAGTCATTATGGAAAATAGTATGGAGAATCCTTAAAAAAATAAAAATGGAACTATCTTATGACCCAGCAATTTCACTTCTGGGTATACACTGAGTGGCCAGATTATTATGATCTCTGAACACATAATAATCTGGCCACTTAGTGTGTGTATATATATTAGAGGCCCAGTGCATGAATTCATACATAGGGTCCAGCCAGCCTGGCCAGGGTTGGGGGACATGGGCAGTTGGCCGGCCTGCCTGCTGGTCAAACTCCTGGTGGATGGGGCAATTTGTATATTAGTCTTTTGTTATATAGGATATACACTGAGTGGCCAGATTATTATGCCTTCAGAGATCATAATAATCTGGGCACTCGGTGTATATCCAAAGAAACCCAAAATACTAATTCAAAATAACAGACTGACAGTTGCTAGAGGGGAAGAGGTTTAGGGGACTGGGCCAAATAGGTAAAGGGATTAAGAAGTACAATTGTTAGTCACAAATAGTCATAGGGGAAAAAAAAGCAAGCAAAAAACAAAATAGTCATGGGGTTATAAAGTACAGTATAGAGAATATGTCAATAATATTGCAGTAACTATGTTGGTGGCAGAATTAGCAGGGTCAAACCAGAAAAGTTTTGTACAGCAAAGAAACCATCAATAAAATGAAAAGACAACCTACCAACTGGGAGAAGATATTTGCCAATGATAAATATGATAAGGGGTTAATATCTAAAATTTATAAAAACTCATACAACTCAAAACCAAAACAAACAAACAATCCATTTAAAAAGGCCCTGGCTGGTTTGGCTCAGTAGATATAGTGTTGGTCTACAGACTGAAGGGTCCATGGTTCCATTCCAGTCAAGGGCAAGTACGCTGATTGCAGGATCCTCCCTGGCTGGGGCCCTGGTCAAGGCTCATGCAGGAAGCAGCCAATTGATATCTTTCTCTCACATTGATGTTTTTCTCTGTTTTTCCCTCTCTCTTCCATCTCTCTAAAAATCAGTGGAAAAATATCCTTAGGCGAGAATTTAAACAAACAAACAAACAAACAAACAAACAAACAAACAAATAAATAAATAAAATGGGTAGAGTGCCTGAATAGACATTTGTCCACTCCCTTTTTATAAACTTAAAGTAATCAAAACAACATAAAAACAATAACAAAAAACCTTACTTCACCTGAGGAATAACCTCACTGCATTATTTCTTCTACTTCTAGCTCTAACTGTAATAAACATTCTTGCAAATTGGAAAGAAGCTATGTTTGTGAAATTTTTCTTTGAAAGAAAAAGGAATGATGAAGAAAAGAATGTGTATAAACTTTGGGCATATTTTCCTCTTATTAGAATTCCCAGATCTCTGTTCAATGGCTTTGTGGCTTTAATGACCTGGGCCTTGCTTCTTCTACTGGTATTATGTGCAGAATGAATTAAATGATTTTCAAAGTTCCTCTCCAGTCTAAAATTTTATAAGACAGGTAAAGTAAAATATTAAGTTTGCTGTTTTTTAGCCATTCTTATTTGCAGACAGCCTGCATAAACCCAATAAATCCACAGCCAGATCTTGAGAAGTCCTAAATAGTCTATATTTTCCAGGCCCTATACATGATACAGAATAGAAACCATACTAAATCATAAGAAAGATTAAAGAAGTCCAAAGGTCTTTTACTCCTTATGATGACTACTTCAATGAAAAAAAAAAACCAACAGTAACTTTTAAATTGTTTCCAAGAAATGATTTTGGTGGCCTGTTTTGCTGGTGCCTTAATCAATGTTTACTCTGACTGTTAGATAATCTGTCGTGTTCATGATGTTACACCAATACAGAATTCCCTTACACAAAGAATTACTCTCTTCTCTTCCAGACCACATAAGGGGAAATATCCCAGTTCAGCTTCTAAATTCATATACTATTATTAAATTTTTAAGTGTAAATTTCAAATTGGACCTAAGCCTAGAGAAAGATAAAATGCATGAGAACCATAAGCTATTGTGATAGAATAAGCTAATGAGGAGATAACATTCTTAACCATTGAAAATCAGCTGGGATACTGGAAATGCAGGCTAAGAAAAGCAGGGCCATTTTCCAAGTATTTTGGTGTCAAGATAGGAAGTCAATGTCCAATGGGCAAGGTAGCAGACAAAGGAGAGGCAAAGGGACATAAAGGTGAAGCTAGATTTCTATCATTACAAATGAGAATGACTGAGCAGTATTCACTTTAACTAAGGCTTTTGCAAGATAAATTTGGACACAAAAGAAACAAACTCAAATGTCACACCCATTTTGCTGTGGTGAGAACAATAGACTGACTATTTCAGGACATCCTTGCCTGCAAAAGACAACTTTCAATATTTGGGAAAGCAGTCTGGGAGCAATTCCACTGATTCATTGGGTGATGTTAGATCAATAGTATCTTTTCTTTGAGTATTTGTTTATCCATCTGCAAACAAGCTTCTTCTAATTATAATATTCTATGTCTTTTTAAATGTGAAAATAAATCTTGGGTGAAAGAACTGGTTAACCATTAAACTTTTTTTTCTTTGGTTTGGGCAGGGATTATAATTCTACGACTTACCTTAATGAATATACTGAAATATTCAAGATGTACAACAACAGTGCTAACGCTGCTGAGACTAAGTGCAATGCCACTAATGTGACATTTCAGTCCACTCTCTATGCAACCACCTACATCCTCATATTTATCCCTGGTCTTCTGGCTAACAGTGCGGCCTTGTGGGTTCTGTGCCGCTTCATCAGCAAGAAAAATAAAGCCATCATTTTCATGATCAACCTCTCTGTGGCTGACCTAGCTCATGTGCTCTCCTTACCCCTCCGGATTTACTACTACATCAGCCACCAGTGGCCTTTCCAGAGGACCCTTTGCCTGCTGTGCTTCTACCTGAAATATCTCAACATGTACGCCAGCATTTGCTTCCTGACCTGCATCAGCCTTCAGAGGTGCTTCTTTCTCCTCAAGCCCTTCAGGGCCAGAGTCTGGAAGCGTAGGTATGATGTGGGCATCAGTGCTGTCATCTGGGTCATTGTGGGCACTGCCTGTTTGCCATTTCCCATCTACAGAAGCACAGACTTAGCCAACAATACTGAATTCTGCTTTGCTGATCTTGGATATAAGAAAATGAATCCAGTGTCTCTTGTTGGGATGATCACAGTTGCTGAGCTAGCAGGATTTGTGATTCCAGTCATCATCATCACATGGTGTACCTGGAAAACCACCATATCCTTGAGACAGCCAATGGCTTTCCAGGGAATCAGTGAGAGGCAGAAAGCATTGCGTATGGTTTTCATGTGTGCTGCAGTCTTCTTCATATGCTTCACTCCCTATCATATTAACTTTATTTTTTACGCCATGGCAAAAGAAGATATTATTAGCAGTTGTTCCATTGTCAAAAGCACGCTGTATTTTCACCCTTTTTGTCTATGCCTTGCAAGTCTTTGCTGCCTTTTGGATCCAATTCTCTATTATTTCATGGCCTCAGAGTTTCGTGACCAACTCTCCCGCCATAGCAGTTCTGTGACCCGTTCCCGCCTCATGAGCAGGGAGAGTGGTTCATCAATGATTGGTTAAAAATAAAATAACTTTTCAATTATGACTTTGTTTAACTATGTTTTCTGTTTTATTATATGCAATGACCACCAGGGGGCAGACTCTCAATGCAGGAGCTGCTGGGCTGAAGTGCCTTGGAAGTGGTAGTTTCTCTGGTGACACACTCCAGAACCAGAGAGGACAGAGCCCAATTCCTTGCTGGGCTGTGCGATTCCACCTTGGGCCATGGGTTAGTTGCTGCTGGGGCACTGTCGGCCCCAAATTTGGTTTACTGCACACTTGTGTTTGTGTTCATGTATGACAGCAACTTTGCAGAGGGCACTCTCGTACTCTGGGACCCCTATCTATCTATCTATCTATCTATCTATCTATCTATCTATCTATCTATCTATCATCTATCTATCTATCTATCTATCTATCTATCTATCAGACTAAGTGACCAGCTGTATGTCCGACGGCACTGGCTATTTAAAAATATTTCTTCTAATTAATTTCCTTTCATTGTGCATGAATCCATGCACAGGCCACTAGTTTAAAATAAAAGGCAGGTAAATGGGAGATAAATGGGAGGCAGAGCCTATATGTCCTTGTTTAAAATGTATTCTGTGTTATTTCTAAATTTTGAGCCATTATTATCCAAGTAATTTTGCTCCTTGTCTTAAGTTTTGTTTTTATGCATCTAGTATAACATTTATATGCCAGGAACAAAAGCTACAATATTAAACCAGTAACATTGATTAGGAACAGAAAAAAAATGTCTAACACTAAACAAGGAAGGGTCCAAAGGAAACAAGCATCCCAGCCAACTGAAAAACCCTTTACATGTATTATCATTATTTTTTATTAAGCTAGTTACATGTTTTTTTTTCTTTCATCCACTGTAACTTGTACTTTATGATATGTTTGGTTAGATGAGTTAAAACTTTCTACTATTTTATCATCTAGAAACTCTAATTTTACTTCTGGGCAGTTAGTTTCATCCATTCCTATATTTAGACATTACTCATCTAAAATACTCATCTAGGTTAGATCCATATATAATTCTCCTAGAGGAATTATTAGGGAGGTGTTCTTGAAGGTGTTTGTCTAAGATGGGTCCTTTATAATAAATATAGCCAGAAAAAAATGTAATATACCAAAGCTTATATTGATAATAGAAGTCCAGTGTATGCCCAACAAAGCATTCATTCATTATCATAGCTGATAATAAGAATATTAGTTTAGTAGGTGGGAAAGATTTACAGGTACCTAAGTTAAAATTTTTCATGTCTAATAAGGGAAGGGGTCTGGAGAGACAGATATTGTTTCCACTAGGAAACCATAAGAAGGATAATAAAAATCACTTTTTATACATTCAATCAATAACAATTAGGTGATATAAGAACAAAGTTTGAGCATCATTAATTTGTGAGCATATAGGCCTTGTTGAAGTCTTGGAATAGCTACCTGCCTTCTTCAAGGCTGGTAGCTTCTCATCCTTGAGATGAAGGCCAATGTCTATCTGTGGTTAGGCACCTGATAAGGTAAAGTCTCTTTAACACTGTTGTAGAGAGTCTTTCATTAATGTCTTTCCCAATGGACAAAAACCTCCCACTTGTAAATTGTGCTCTTTGAATCTTTGTCTTTTGGGAATACTGTGAAATGAAATGTTGCTAATTTATCAGTTCCTTTAATGCAGAATGTCTACTTTTTAGTTCCTTATATTGGGAGAAACAAAACACTTAAAAATCATCAATATTTTAAAGAGTTGTAAGAATAATAATTCATTTAGTCCCATAACTATTTTTGTTTATCCTGATTATTTGCCAGTATTTTTATTTTATTTTATTTTACTTTATTTTATTTTTTAAATATATTTTATTAATTTTTTATGGAGAAGAAGAGAGAGGGATAGAGAGTCAGAAACATCGATGAGAGAGAAACATCGATCAGCTGTCTCTTGCACACCCCCCACTGGGGATGTGCCCGCTACCAAGGTACATGCCCTTGACCAGAATCAAACCCAGGACCCTTCAGTCCACAGGCCGATGCTCTATCCACTAAGCCAAACCAGTTTCGGCTATTTGCCAGTATTTTTTTAAATGAATTTAGTTATTCTTTAGAGTTCTATAAATCTCCATCCTGGTAAAATATATGACCTGCTTAGGAGCCTATAACTTGAAGTCAGGGTCCTTTTCATGGATTTTTCTAAAGATATAACATATGCATCAGAGTAAAACAATTTCTTTCTATGAGTGACAAAACTTAAAGTGGCATGGTTATAGATTTTAATGTAATATAATTGGTAAAAAAAAAAAAAAAAAAAAACTTTGCTTTTCTATACGATATAACATTCCAAGACAATAATTTCTTGGTAAATAATAATTACTGTGAAATGGCATGAGAATAATATAAGGTCTATATATATTTAGTTACAACACATGATGTCAGCATATAGAAAACAAATAACATGTAAACATTTAAAACGTTACATATGCCTTTTTGGAAGTATTCATTGAGCATTGGAAATAATTCATAAACTCCCAATATGAAGCACAGATATCCGGAGTATCACTGCTGGACTCCCTTCACAGGAAATCATCACTTTTGGCTTCCCTGGTATTGCTGACTGAATACCTGCAACCACTGAATTTCCTGTTTGAACTTGGCTCTGAATCCTTGCAAGTTCCTTTCTGGAGATCAAAATTTCTATAACATCCATTTTAACAAAATATATGTATTTTGGAGTTATTATTAATTTTTATTTGGCAAACTTCCCATGTAATTGCAAATATATTAAATAGGCCCAATTTAGTTTAAAAATATTTTTTAAGATGAGAGAATAAACCCTTGAGGCCTTCCAGGGCCCATTGGAATGACTAAAAGTCATCCTCTCAGTTAAAAGTCTCTTAAAATTCAAACTTTGGGGAGGTTTCAGATATACTTAATCAAAAGATTGTATCATAAACTCTTTGTAAATCTAGGTAAAAACGTATTTTAAGGTAATAACTCTAAAAGACTAAAAATAAAAATATATATTTTTTATTATTCAAATTTAAACCACTTTTAATATTAAATATTTTGTCCAGACCATAGAATTCTGCTTAATTTATAGCATTTAATCATTTTTAAATTATGACAATAAAATAATATATCCAAGTAATGCCATCTGGAGGCTAAAAAATTACCACACATAATACACAATAATATCACACAAAGAACATATATACGAACACCATACACACAAATCAAATTACTATTTTTTCCAGAGAAAATGCAAGATTTAAAAAATATTTATATTTTTTATTGATTTCGGAGATGGTGAGGGAGAGAAAGATAGGAACATCAATGATGAGAGAGAATCATTGATTGGCTGCCTCTGACACGCCCCCTGCTGGGGATCAAGCCTACAACCCAGGCATGTGCCCTTGACCTGAATCTCTCCTTATCAGGTGAATTGGGCCTGATTTGGCCAGTAAAATATGTATTGCCCCATAAAATGCCCTAGTTTAAAGAGAACAGGTTCTGATTTTAAAAGAGCCATTGGTTGCTTATATTTGCACAGAAGCCTTACACTGAGGGAGAAGGAAAGTTAGTTGGGTAGCGTTAAGAACAGATAAAATAGCCCCAGTATCTACAAGGGCTTTAATAATTCCCCTTTTATGATAATTTCAATTTATCCTAAAGTATTAATAAGGAGAAAGGGAAACACCTTCTCACAGTCCTCAGAACATCCATATTTTCACTTGTGTTCATTTACTCTTTGTAAATCCAATTTTAGTTTTCTGCAATCTTTCTTATGTTGACCTGGCTTTCTACAACAAAAACAGAATCATCTGCAGTTACACAGCAGACTTTATTTAGTAATTCTCTTGTCTTGCTCTCAGAAAGCAGGAGGTGAAATAATTGGAACAGATCAGAATAGCCAATTTCCAAATCAAGATATGCTTTGTATATATTCATTCACTTAAATTTAAGAGTTAGCCTTTTTCTAATTTTTGCATGCAAAATATTAATTTTGGTACCCAAAGACAACTGCATTTTGGTCATTTTTAAAGTTAATATTTTGTAGTTAATCTTCTCATTTTTGTAAAGCACTTGCAAGTAACAGCTTCCTATTAGGAGAATCAAATGAGGGCTGGGTTTGGAAGTTTTGGGCCATGTTAATTTTAAAAATTTTATTTTTTGGATATCTGCAGTCTTGCCACAAGCTTGGATTAAAAGCTTAGGCAAAATAGATGAAGGGAGTTGAAAAGTATAAATTTTTAGTTATAAAATAAATAATTAGAGAAGTGAAGAGGGCAGCTAGCAGGATGAAGGTGAAGGAGAGGGTGTGAGTGAGTGAGAGGGTGAAAGGAGAGTGATGTGTGTGTGTGTGTGTGTGTGTGTGTGTGTGTGTGTGTGTGTGTGTATGAGTGAGGGTCAGTTAAATCCAGCAGGAGTAGCAGGGGTTGGCAGACCAGGCTCTCTGGGACAGGGAGCACCAACCACTTCTGTAGGCACACCACAGCTTCAGGGCTCAGGCACAATGTCCACACCATCTTGAAGGGCAGAGTGGCCTCTTCTAGGAACTCATCAGCACCACCACTCAGACAGGCCTTGGACACTACCTTCAACCCTGAAGCCATTCCAGTCAAAATCCTGCTGCTCCACCTACAGACCTGCAGATGCTAGGATGTCCACCTCCAAAGGTGCATAGCTCCTGAAGCAGAAAGTGCGACTTCTGGACACCTCAGTTGCACCTTTCCAGCATGCAGGCTTCCTGAGCCCACCGCCCCACAAGCCACTCTTGGGTACCGCTGTGAGCCCCTGCTAGGCATACTCATATCCAAAGAAGGGCACACAGAAATTCTGAATGCCCCCTTCCTAGCTGCCTGCCCACCAACACCACGGTCACATGGCTTCAGCGCAAGGGCCCCTCTCAGTGCATGAGTGTGCCACGCTGACAAAGGACCCATGGTGCCTCTGTGAGCTGCCATTGGATGCACATGAATCCAACCAAGGGTTCAAGGCCGCAGGCAGTAAAAACAGTCTTCTCACTC